TGGAGCATGTAACGCTCCGGTGGTCGGTATAGCTTCATACCCCCATCAGGCTGGCCAGTTGCTTCCCACCAGTAACCCCAAAGAAAGCAAGCTAACAAAGGCTGCGTGCTTGTGAGAAGGAGAGCGACGCGGACAGAGAAACATCGTCTGTGAGAGCTGTGGGCTGTGGAGGGTAAGCATGACTGTGTTTGGAAAGGGAAGGTGTGCATCCAGCCAGGAGAGCAAATGTGAGGGAGAAGCTGAAGGGGGCCAGTGGGAACTTTGCTCCCTCCCATGTGCTGCCCATCTGGTGTCCACTGCTGCATGTGGAAGTTTCTTGAGTCCAGTGGGTCATGGAGCTGACAGCTCTTAGTCTGTCATCAGCAGCAGGTAGGAAGGACTGTGAAGTGCAGGGGTGAGGGACTTGGGGTGGGTGACATTTGGCCCGTGGTGGCCTGACAGCATGTGCTAAATGTTAATGTGATATTCTTCAGAAATGAAGAATACTAATGCTCAGCTGAATAATTTAATGAGGAAAATAAAGCTTAGTTAGTGAGGCAGGCACAGGCTCATAAATCATTTCCTCAAGTTCTCCATCCCACATGTGTGTTCACATGTGTTTGTGTTTTTGTGTGGTAAAGGCACGCATGTCTCTGCATGTGCATCTACATCTACTTGGCACTTGGAATTTAAGGCAGGCACATCATGACTCTGTTGGATTCTGGGCCCAGCTGGGCATGTACAAGTATGGCTTTCTTAGAGTCAGGTGTGTTCTCTGATTACCGTGCAGCTTGAGATGATGACTGGAGGCCAGAAGAATTTATACTTCCAGACTTTGCTGTGCAAGCCAGAAGCATGTCCTCCCTGCTGTCCTGTTACTCTCTCTCTCCCTCAAATGGAAGGGGTAAGGCTTGACCATCCTTTCTGTGCGTTGAGTTCCTGTAGGGGACAGAGCTCTTTGAGACCTGTGTACAAAGTTTAGGACCCTACAGGGACGCTTCTCAAGGCCTTGTGACCTATGTTGTTGAGTTAAAGCAACTGTGGACTCTCTTTGCATTTGTAGGCTCACACCTCTGCTTAAGAGGCCTTTGATATTTTGTTCGTCTTTAATGGCAACATGGGACTTAGAAGGATTAAAGTGTGTCTGGGTGTCCAGTTCTCTGCAAGGAGGACCATGCCTGCCTTTGCCTCAGTTGGGAGACCTCTTATTTCAGGAAGCAGCAGGCAGAGAATCCTGCTGCTCTTCTCTGAGCCTTAGCATCTGGACAAAATTCCTTGTATCGTGTTTCCTCCTCTTTACTCACATCTTCCAGAGCAGATGAAGACCAGCCCAGAGACCAGGCCTCAGTTCGGTGGGTGGCTCTCAAAGTCACTGGAGCCTGCAAGGTCTCTGGAAACAGGCAGCCCTTGACCGAGGGCTTGGTCTGACATTGGCAGAGGGTGAGTCTTCCTGTGCCCTGCCAAGGTGCTGTGTCAAGTAGGCAAGAGAGAAGCTGTGGCCACAGCTGTGGGGTGCAGAGCAGCCCACATGCTTGATCTCGCCCCAGGCAGCCCACCTTCCTCTTGTCACCGCAGCCAGACGCTGCTTCCAGACTTGCACCAGTGCTAACCCACATCACTGTGCTGGCGTCGACGCTGGCACCTCTACCGCCAGTGCTGTCATAGAATCATAGAAGGTTGAAAAAGACCTCTAAGATCATCGAGTCCAACCGTCAACCCAACACCACCATGCCCGCTGTCTTGCAGGTGTTGTGCCATGGCCCTGCTGTGGGTGTGTGACCCCGCGGGGTGCGCTCCCCCGTGGTGGGCAGGTTCAGTAGGGCCAGCCATGGCTCGCCGTCCCAAGGGCAGGCCCTGCAGTGCACCCTCGGCTGCGTGGCAGTTCCTGGGGGAAGGAAAGGGGTGGACAGATGGGTAGAAGGGGCCCCCTCCCCAGAGATCATATCAAAATGTCTCTTTTGTGCAAAGCAGAGGGAATGCCCCCAAGAGCTGGTTTCCATGGCAACCACAAATGTCAGGTTCCATGTGGTGAATAACCGTTTCCATGACAACCCCTCCTTTACCCTAGGTGCTGGGAGCTGGAGTGACAGCCCTGTTGGGGGAGGGGACAGGGAGATGTCCTCAGGTACTTAACCCCCTCCCTCACCTCCCCCCATCCTTTCCGACTCCTTGCCCCAAGCCCTCAGCCCCAGCATCCCTGGGGGTATGATGCTCTTGGCTTCCACGGCATCCCTTCCTCCCTCCCTTCCCCCAAATGGATTTGCGCCTCACAGAAGCCGAGATCCGAGTCTGTCCCTCCATCTCCCTCCCCATCTGTTTAGCTTAATCCTGGTTTTGCATCCTGGGTAGAAACAAAGCTATTTCTCAGTGCTGTGGGAGCAGTGGGGAGTGAGGTGGCCAGCTGCCCCTCTTGGCTCCGCACCGAGCCCTCTCTTCCGAGCACACATCTGGGCTGCCTGCCCTCTCCCATCCAGCCTGCTGCCGAAACACCCCCAGCCTCGGCTTGCACAGGCATGTTGCCAGAGGCTGTGAGCAGCGATAGGAGCCACTGCCTCTCAGCAAGGAAATCTGAGGCTTTCTGGAGCAATATCTGACTGCATCCTTCGGAACCCCTGCCCCACATCCCACTCAGCTCATGGGCTGAGAGAGATGCCTGGTCCTTGGCAGGTCCTGGGTGGGGGGAGCAGCAGCCCAGAGGCTGGTGAGTGCCAGTGCTGCACATGCTGGGGCCACGTGGCAGCACAGCGGGATGTTAGGAGCTCTGCAAATCCAGGCAGCTGATCGAGAGTGGGAAAGGGACCCTCAGCCTTTCCCTCTCCCCCAAATGACACAGCAAGTCCTGGGAGATGCAGTTGGAGTTGGCACTGCTGCCTATAGAGATGCAGCATGGCAGCAGCTTGGCTTTGCTTTGGGGAGCTGCCAGCCAGTCGCTGGCTCTGCCGAGCAGCCTCATATCGCTCCTTGAGGCAGGGATGGTATCGCTTGGGGCTGGTCCCAGCTTCTGCTCTTCTTGCCTGAGATCCACCAGTCAGTGGAAGCCAGCTCACAGCCCCCAGCTGCCACAAGCACTCTCCCGTGCCCAGCGGTCAGGCTTCCGCAGCGGTGTGCCATGCCACGGCAGCCTGTCACCTTCTGGTTGGCATCTCTGTCCTGTGAACTGCAAAGTTACTTCACATGTTTCCTCCAGCTGTTGTGGATGTGGGTTCTACCTCTGGTTTCTGGCCAGCCTGGCTCGGCCACCGCTTGGAGACTGACAGCAGTCCACATTTTGCATGCTGGCTTCTAAACACATTTCAGCTGGTGACTTTTATGGCTTGTTTTCATCTTCTGTTTTGTTGTTGCTGTTTTTCCTGAGGGTGTTTCCTAAGAGAGGGGGCAGACTATGCCTGGACCTGCAACTTGTGTGCAGGTCTTCCCTGCGATATTCTGATTGTTTTTTATTATGAATGTCACTGATTCAAGTCACTGTCAGCCTCTGTGAATGATGCTGAGAGATATTGTCGTGGTTCAACCTGGCAGGCAGCCAAATACCACACAGTCGCTCACTTACTCCCCCCCACCCCCACAGTGGGACGGGGAGAGAATCGGAAGGGTAAGAGTGAGAAAAACTCGTGGGTTGAGATAAAGACAGTTTAATAGAACAGAAAAGGGAAAATAATAATAATGATAGAATATACAAAATGAGTGATGCACAATGCAATTGCTCATCACCCGCGCTGACCGATAACCAAGTAGCGATCGGTACTTCCTGGATCACGCCTACCATTCATATACTGAGCATGACGTCACATGGTATGGAATACCCCATTGGCCAGCTGGGCTGGCTGTCCTGATTATGTTCCCTCCCATCTTGTGCACCTAGCTCAGTCAGTAGGCATGGGAGCTGTCCTTGGACTAGGAGGGCACTTAGCAACAACTGAAAACATCAGTGTGTTATCAACATTCACCTCATACTAAATCCAAAACACAGCACTAGGAAGAAATTTAACCCTATCCCAGCCGAAACCAGGACAGACACGGAGTGAGATGTGCCATGGATGTGGAAATCTGCCTTGTACGCCATTCCTCAGAGGAGATTCTGGCTCTGTTGGATCCTGCTGGCCTGGGAAGGAGGCTACAGCTTGTTGATTGCCTTTCTGGGCAGCACAGGACAGGCGTACCTTACAGCAGATGAGAGTTTTGCCCTGCTTTGCAAATCAGCCAGTTAAAGCTGTGGGTTACTTAATGCAGCTACTCCTGGGTAGAAGTGTTCTTCTGTCTTACCTGGAGAGTTCCCACGTGACGGCAGCTAAGCTACCCCTCAGGCTTGTTGCTTGTGGTTGGATTATTGCTAATGACACTAATGGCTGCAAGAGAGGTAAAGAACTCTTCTCCACAACCAAGCAAGAGGAGTTTTCAACCTGAGCGTTCCCCTCGTGGACAGGAGATGTTGCTGGAGAGCAGCACTGCCCCTCTTTAGAGCCACTCTGACTGCCTGAGGGCTGGGGAAGGGGAAATGTAACATGCCTGCTTGCTGTACTGCTCCTAGCCAAGTTCAGAGGCAGTCTTTCCTCTCTCCTGCAAGGAAGATAGGGGCTTAGTAGGTGAGGTGACCATGCCTGCGCTGAGTCAGGCCGGGCTTAGGAAGAGCTTCCAGGCATAGTCTCACCTTAGGCCACCCTGACCACTGTTCAGGCTCCAGTCTCACACTGGTGAGCTGCTTCCTTGGAGTCCTTTCTTTGCCACTTTGCTGTGTCTGAGGAGGCAGAGGTTTATGCATGGTGGGCATTTCCAGCAGAGCTGTTCCCTGCAGGCAAGCAGCTGAGCAGGGAAAAGCGCCAGGTTTCCTTTTGAGAAGTCTGAAATCCACGTGGTCCCTTCTCTGAGGGTTCTGGTTGCCATCACAATGTCTTGGTTCCCTTCTGCCACTCTCCTGCTCTGCTCAGCAGGCAGAAAGGGGCACCCTGGTGCCGCTGCCGTCAGCACTGTGTGCCAGGCAGATGGGCCAAGCTCTAACCCTCTGCATTTCTCTTTCATTGCAGATGGCGCGCCCGATTCAAGTGAAACCCGCAGACAGCGAGAGCCGTGGAGGTAGTTGTCATCTCTCCTTGTTTCTCCTTTGGCGGCTTTGTGCTTGTGAGGGGGACCAAGCAAAGAGACAGGGTCCTGACCTGGCCTTCCTCTCCCCGCAGTCTGTATGAAGGGATGTTTGCCTGTGGCAGGGATTTGGGGGGGCAGGAGGAGAGTCTAGAGATAGGCTAGATCCCTGCAGCAGCACTGGCTTTTTAACCTGTTCAGCTGACTGCTCCGCAGCTGATTCTCCTGTCTGCAGCTCACTCCTCTGCCTCCCCCATCACAGTTGGACTGTCTCAGCCTCTCCACTCTCAGTCCTGCAGCAGCCCCCATCACACTGTCAGGGCCCAAGTGCTGTTGCAGAAAATAGCATGTGAAGGGGAATAGTGTCTGAAGGGAGAGGATCCTGACTTTAGGCCTGAGATGGAGGTGCTGTCAGCCTGCAGGGGACCAGCTTGGTTAGAGCAGCATATACTGAGTAGTTCAGAGCTGGAAGATTGGGAACAGGAGAATCTCTGTTAATTTAATGGGGAGCTCACAGCAGCTCAGATGCCTCCTCCAGGTGGAGGTTTGCAACTCCAGCCCTTTCCAAATTTATGAACTCGTTTTGCTGCTTTTCCTTGTGTTACCGATACATTTCTTTTCCTCTTCTCTCCATTCCTGCATCTGCGTCTCCATGCCTTGTGCTGTTGGTGCTGCCTCTGAAAGCAATTTAGTTGTGTGGAGGGGAAAATTTGCGTGAGACCGTTTGTGCCGTAGGGCAGCATATCCTGCATGCTGTGTTTAGATTTGGAAGGTTTTTGTTTTAAATTTTAAGGGGTTACTTCCAAGCAGTTTGTAGTGACTTTCAATTATTGCACTGGCAGGAACATGAGATATTTTTAATAGTATTTTATATGAATGTATGTATTTATGGTTGTGTCATCCTCCTTTTTTAAAAAAAAAGTTTATCTGTTTAAGTCAGATCATTTTTCCAAATAGAATCTGTGACTTTTCATTATTTACTCGAGGGATAAGACACATGACTTTTCCTGAAGTCTGGGCATTTTTATTCCCTTGGGCTATACTGAGAATCCCAGACATGCTCCTTTTGAAAAGAACTGTGGCTTAAGCCTCCAAAGAAACTAGCATGCCTAAAACACACAGGACTGGATTCATCTCACCTCACTTCAGCCCCTGGGTTCAGGGTTGAGTTTAAGGTCCTTGTCCATGCTATAGACAGTAAAAAGAGACCAGTGCCTTCAGGGTGATTCACTCTTTCTTGACACCGACATTAGGAGTGGATGAGCTGTCCTTCAGAGGTGCCTGCAGTGGGGACAGAGGAAGCTGACTGCTCACTCACACCTCATATTGCCTCTAGATACAACCATTAGGTGGTCAGTCCTTCCCTCACCACATTGATTTTAAAAATTTGCACCCCAGATTTCTAATTAATTTAGAAATTGTGTAATTGTATCTGAGGTTATTCCTAATGAGTCTTTTTAAAAAAAAAAAAAAGCATAGGAGACTAGGAAAGCCTTTGCCAGTCGTACCAATAACTCAACGTCACAAAACCATGACACGTACACACGGGCAAATCCCATACACTCTCAGGCTGTAAGACATGACTGCGTAGCAACCCTCACAGCCAACGCAGCGACACAGGCAGATGCACCTACGGACGGTTGCCCCATGTGCGCGCTGCTTTGCGAATACATACGTGTGCCCACTTGACACGCACATTCATAGGTGAATGCACACATTTACCTTCACCAGTACCACCCAGGCACAGCTGGTGCCCCTGCATTAAGCCCTCACACAACAGCAGTAAAAACAGACCAAACAGACAATTCAGGCTGTGAACAGACCAACCACTGCAGCTTTGTTTTCTTAACAGTTTGTGTCTCTTTGATGAGTGCGACTCTGGAACCTCTGGTGTCTAATACTAGGCTGAGGTAATTTCTGCAGTCTTTCTTTTGCTGGTGGGACGCTGCTAGGGACTCTCTTCTATACACAGCCACCTAGTATCACACAATGTGTTGGGATTTAACATTTCTGATGCCTCAGCTCCTCTGTCAAATTGAGCTGAAATAGGCCAACAGGTTCAAAAACATGATGTTGATTTGGAGGCAAGCTTTTGGTCAAGGCACTGGACTCTGAAATCTCTAAGCTTATGAAAAGTGCCACAATCTCTAATGACTGCAAACGGCAGGGCATCAGCTCTGCTTCCCATGGAGAACGTCATAGAGAAAAGCAGCCTTTGGAGTCTGAACACCTGCCTCCCTCCAGCCCATGTGCCTAGCTTCCTTCCAGCTTCATTGCAGAGCTCAGAAATGAGGAGCTCCCACAGGATCCCACAGCACCCTATATTTGTCTGAATCAGGTTGCTCTTTCCAAAGGTTTCTGTCATGATGCTCCACTTCTCAGGGAAGTGGATGAGCAGGTTTGCAGATATGGGAAGAGCCATTCCCTATAGTGATAGCCCCACACTGGCAGGAGGTAAAACAAAGATTTGGGGCAGGGCAGAACTGTTTGGACTAGGAATTTATCAAGGAAACAGCTGCATGCACCAGTGAGGCTCTGCTCTGCATTATCCTTGAAGGGAACCTCTTTTATCCTCTCCAGGCACTGACATCTCTCAGATTAAGCACCCTGAATTAAGTACATAAAGTTAGAGCACCAGAATTTGTCTCATGCTCTGAGAGATGCTAATTTTTGTGCCAAAGGGGCAGTTTTGGCCCAGCCCTGCAAGGGCTGTACGGGGATATGTGGATGCTCAGTGTTACTGCACCCTGCAGAAGGAATTCACTAGTAAAAAGATGATGCCTGCATTAGTTCAGAGCGGGACCTGTGATTCTGGTGCAGGCTTTGTCAGCTCTTTCCTCCTTTCCTCACGCCTCTGATGTGAGCCTGGGAGTGCCAGGAGGAGAAGGAGTGAGGGGGCAGAGGAACTTGTCTGTGCTTCTTGCGAGACGTGGAGCACTCTGCTGCACTGATGTGATATGACAGCTAGCCCAAGCCCATTAGCACTGCCTTAGAGACAAGGAAGCTCTCTGCATACCCAAGGAGATTTGCTGCGCCCCATCCACAGCCAACTGCTTGAGCGGGCTTCCTCCCTCTCCCTGATCCTGGCTGCTGACAGCTGCTGGCCAGATGATCTAAATCCATTGGGTTTAAAGAGGAGCAGTGTCCAGTGCTTGTGTGCTCTCCTCTCTATCTCTCGTGTCCAAAGCATTCAGCTTTAACTCCTTGCTTGTTCCTGTGGTATCTTCATCAGTGACCTCTCTGCACTGGCCCTCCTGCTGCTGCCTGGGTGACTGACTGTGCCCAGAGCATGTTTCCATGGGAACTCAACAGTCAGAGATCACAGACAATTTTCCTGGTTCCTGGACAGCATGGGAAATTGCCAATCAGAGGGTAAAAAAGAAGAGCTGGAGAGAAAGTGAAGGAAAAATGGCAGGAGGAGGGTGTGCTGTTACAAGTGGGGGAGAGAAGATCTTCCAGCACTGCTGGGGAGCCGAAGGAGCCAGTGACCCACAGCAGTGGCTTGAGGATGCCAGCTGAGTTGGGATCGACCACTTCAAGAGCGGTGACAGCAGACATCAGGTGAAAGAGCTTGCGGGGTTTCGGCCCAGTTGTGGAGAGGGGAGGTAGCTCGGTCATTGGTAGGGCAACGCTCCTGTTCGGAAGCTGTCCGAAGCGAGGGGGCACTAGGGCCTGGGTTGTGCTCCAACACACGGAGAGGGAGAGTGGTCAGCAGCAGAGGACCCCTCTCACAGGTCCCCAGTTCCTGCAAAGAGGCATCCGTGAAAGAGCTTGCGGGGTTTCGGCCCAGTTGTGGAGAGGGGAGGTAGCTCGGTCATTGGTAGGGCAACGCTCCTGTTCGGAAGCTGTCCGAAGCGAGGGGGCACTAGGGCCTGGGTTGTGCTCCAACACACGGAGAGGGAGAGTGGTCAGCAGCAGAGGACCCCTCTCACAGGTCCCCAGTTCCTGCAAAGAGGCATCCTAGGGGTACAAGCCT